GATGGAACTCTCTTCTGTTGTATTTACTTGGATGTTTTCGTTACTGTCTGTGGTTACTTTATAAGGAGCTACAATAGCTTGAGTCTGTAAATTTCCAGTTTTATGAGAAATAACATAAGGCACTTTTTGTGCTTCTGTTTGACTATAGTCACTTTGTAGAACTAAAAGAGGTGATGTACTATATTTAATAGGAAAACGGTTACGTTTTTTATCACTAACAGGGTTTGGAGTAGTATAAGAGTTCACGTATCTTATCGTAGAGGTTCTGGGAGGTATATCAGCCCATTTTCCAAAAGCAATATACTGGTAATTATTCGAATTCTTCTGGTAACTTGGCGTAAAAGGATGAAAATCGTCCTCTTTGTCACTAATTGGCGCACTAGGATTAAAACTAAATCTCTTGGTATAACGGGGTTGCTCAGTAAGAGGCTGAAATTGTATAAAATCTAAAAAATGTTTTTCATTTCCTTGACGACGTGTATGGTGTGTTGTTTCTGGCGGTCGACTAAAAAATTTTTTGTTAAGCTATACATACCGTTCATTGTTTGCGTTTCTTTCGAGCTGGGACAAGGTATTTAACTTAAATTTTTAACCATAACTTGTTTTAATATATTATAAAAATAATACACAATTTTTGGTTCATTTCCAACAATTTTTTAAAAAAATTAAGATAATACAAAAAACTTCTTAGACGTCACCTATAACGAAAGAAAAAAAAGAAAAAGAAAACTTAAATAAAAAATTTTGCTTTAAGTTGTCAAAAACTGTTGCCTTATTTGCATTGAGTGAATAATTGTGAAGTTAATATGCGGTTAAAATGGTTTTCTTGACGCTTCCCTTCTTTTTCTTGACGCTTTCCCAATGAAAAGCAATGATAACACTTAAATTATTCTGTTAATGATTCCATAGTAAATCATGGGGAAAACACCAAGAAAAAACCTCATACTAATACACCTCATTATGGTAAAGCACCTCATTCTTATGAAGTACCGAAAGTTGATAAAACAAATACACCACTTAGACCTATTTGTAGTACAATGTCTCCTTGTAGAGAACTGTTAAAATTGTTATTAAATAAATGTTTATAAAAAATACACAACATTTTTAAATAAATTATTAAATATTGAATTTAACTCAATTAATTAAGACTTTAAATATATTCAAAACAAAATTAGAGAATGATGATACATTGACAACTAGAACAAGACTAATATCAGATATAATAGAGTTATTGACATTATGCACTGATAATACCTATTTTCAACTAAATGAATTCTATAAACAAAATTTTGTCTAGCAGTGGGCTCTAGTTTAACTCCATTATTAGCCGATATATTTATGGAAAATTTTGCAACAAATATTATATCTAAACAAAATTTAAAACCCACAGTATGTGGTGATATGTAGATGATATATTCTCAATGTTGGACACATTCCTGATTGATATAAATGACAAAGAAGAAACAATAACATTTACCATGGAAAATGAATATAATGACACCCAACCTTTCCTTGATGTTTTAATCTCTAAGAACGATACTCAGGTCTATAGATAACCAATACACACACCAACAGATATCAAAATTTCAAATCAAATCACAACATCAATATTAAAAAGGCAATACTTATTTTTCCGACATCTTAGTCTACTTGGCTGAACTTGGTGGTCATACAAGGTGTGTCTTCGATCTGTCTCCTGCTTCTTTCGTTCTATCTCTGACCTGACCCGTCTTCTGATAGCAGGTGGAGAGATTCCCACTATAGGGTCATCGAGTTAGAATCTATGGAGAGAGCATCACGTGACTAAAAACGACCTCACTCCGGCCATATTGTTAATATTGTTTTGAAACTTTTGACAGATCGTATATGTTTGTTACATTTGTTGTTTTTTGAATATTTTCCGTTTTATAATACTTTTATAGAAACTGTAATATATTGTGATAGTGCATAATAATGGTTTTTTGTTCTCAACGTAGTTGCAGTAGCAGAAGCAATGTTAATAAAAAATCTTCAGGAAAATCGTTCCACAGGTTAGTAAACAAATATGTAAACAAAGTAATGACAGTTTTCGTCATACTAAGTCTTCTAGGGCATCTGTAATTTTACTTCGACTTCATTGAAGGTACTTCCCTTAGCTGCCACAACTGTATTATGTGATAATGATTTACTACGGCATTACTAATAGGAGAAAATGACACCTCAAAATGAAAATTTTTCTCACGAACCATTAGCTGTAGGAAAATTCTGAGCATGGCAGAAGAAGAAGCGGTCAATTTTATGTAAGAAATGTCCACTTGCTTGACTCTCGGACCAAAATTGACGACAATATAGCCGCATAACGAAATTTGAAAAAAATCCAAGGGTACCACCTTGGAAGATTTTTTCCAAATTTTTATGAAAAAAAAATTGTTTTTTTATGTTTTGGTACAAGCACTCGATCCAACTTATTACAAAAATGTATTTAAATCTGATCCGCTAACCCAAATTTGCCGGAAAGAGAAAAAATCGAATTAAAAATTCTCCACTTTTTTCAGCAAATGTAGACCTCCAAATGAAAATTTTTCTCACAAACCGTTAGATGTAGGAAAATTCTGAGCATGGCGGAAGAACGAGCGGTCAATTTTATGTAAGAAATGTCCACTCGCTTGACTCTCGGACCAAAATTGACGACAATATAGCCGAATAACGAAATTTGAAAAAAATCCAAGGGTACCCCCTTGGAAGATTTTTTCCAAATTTTTATGAAAAAAAAAATTTTTTGTTTACGTTTTGGTACAAGCACTCGGTCCAGCTTATTACAAAAATGTGTCTTAGTCTGATTCGCTAACCCAAATTTGCCGGGAAAGAGAAAAAATCGAATTAAAAATTCTCCACTTTTTCAGCAAATATAGACCTCCAAATGAAAATTTTTCTCACGAACCGTTAGATGTAGGAAAATTCTGAGCATGGCGGAAGAACGAGCGGTCAATTTTATGTAAGAAATGTCCACTCGCTTGACTCTCGGACCAAAATTGACGCCAATATAGCCGAATAACGAAATTTGAAAAAAATCCAAGGGTACCCTCTTGGAAGATTTTTTCCAAATTTTTATGAAAAAAAAAAATTTTTTTGTTTACGTTTTGGTACAAGCACTCGGTCCAGCTTATTACAAAAATGTGTCTTAGTCTGATCCGCTAACCCAAATTTGCCGGGAAGAGGGGACAGAGAAAAAATCGAATTAAAAATTCTCCGCCTTTTCAGCAAATATAGACCTCCAAATGAAAATTTTTCTCACGAACTGTTAGATGTAGGAAAATTCTGAGCTATGGCAGAAGAACGAGCGGTCAATTTTATGTAAGAAATGTCCACTCACTTGACTGTCGGACCAAAATTGACGCCAATATAGCCGAATAACGAAATTTGAAAAAGATCCAATGGTACCCCCTTGATTGATTTTTTCCAATTTTTTATGAAAAAAATTTTTTTTCTTGTTTACGTTTTGGTACAAGCACTCGGTCCAGCTTATTACAAAAATGTGTCTTAGTCTGATTCGCTAACCTAAATTTGCCGGAAAAGAGAAAAAATCGAATTAAAAATTCTCCACTTTTTCAGCAAATATATACCTCCAAATGAAAATTTTTTTCACGAACCGTTAGATGTAGGAAAATTCTGAGCATGGCAGAGGAACCAGAGGTTAATTTTATGTAAGAAATGTCCACTCGCTTGACTCTCGGACCAAAATTGACGCCAATATAGCCGAATAACGAAATTTGAAAAAGATCCAATGGTACCCCTTGATTGATTTTTTCCAATTTTTTATGAAATAAAATTTTTTTTGTTTACGTTTTGGTACAAGCACTCGGTCTAGCTTATTACAAAAATGTGTCTTAGTCTGATCCGCTAACCCAAATTTGCCGGGAAAGAGAAAAAATCGAATTAAAATTTCTCCACATCTTCAGCAAATATAGACCTCCAAGTGAAAATTTTTCTCACGAACCGTTAAACGTAGGAAAATTCTGAGCATGGCAGAAGAACGAGCGGTCAATTTTATGTAAGAAATGTCCACTCACTTGACTCTCGGACCAAAATTGACGCCAATATAGCCGAATAACGAAATTTGAAAAAAATCCAAGGGTAGTCATCATTGCCTATGGTTGTTTTTTTGAAGACGAATGACATACAATGGTTTGTCTGACGAATATTCTCAACTTAAGGTTGATTTATTTGACAATATCATGTTAATGTCGTCTACTTTAAAATGTGAGTCAGACAAAATTAAATTAGAAGGATTTTAAAACGTCAATAAACTTAAATTGTGGCTTATTCCTAAGAAAAATAATATTTGCACTGAGATCCCACAAAAAATAGCTTTAGGACAATATTCATAGCCGGTCTTGTGTAATGATACATTGTTTTTGTGGTTTATAGGTCGCCGTGGAAATATTTAGTCCTGAAATTTCCTCTGCAACTACGGCAGACATCTTCAAAACATTTGCGGTAACGGTCGTAGTTACATGATGAGTGGAAGTTCACTTGGAGGACCAACTGTTGCCGTTTCCCTTTTGTTAATATCTGTCGCAGTTCCGTAGTTGACGTGAGGAAGAAAACATTTGAGACTATGGCGTATAACTCCGAAAACTATGTATCATTAACGAATTTTGAGCCTTTAAAGCAATGGCAACTTAAAACAAAGACAAGCTTAAGTGAGTGCATTCGATGTTTGTTATGATGACATGGCTAATGCTTGATTGTATATAAGTATCATTTATATAATAAATCTGCAATATACTAATAAAAAAATTACGTTTACTTTGTGTTTTTTTTTTTAAATTAAATACCTCGTTAAATTCCCAGGAAGAAACTTTTCCAGCGGCAAATCTGTTTTACCTTTTTGGTATTTGTCTCTTTTGTCTTCTTTTTGGAGATATATATTTAAGTAATAAATCGTCGTCAGTCACCAATCTGGCAGAGTGAGTATAATAAAAATTAGAAAGGCTTTCTTTGAAATCGAAAAAACTTACCTGTAATGTTGGTTTTGTGTTCCGAATGAAATTACACCAATTTTCTCGCCTCGTCCACTGTAGCTCTGCAAAATATTTAATCAGTTTTATTATTTGTTTATTAGTTGAATTATAATGTGAAGAGTCGCAATAAAAAACATTGAATAATAAAATAAGCTGCAACAGCATTCACAATTTCACAATGCACGTTAATTCTCCTACAAGAATTACTAAAACAACATCTAACCATAATTGATTATATTTTCTCATATTTCTCACCCCTTAATGTACGCCCTACAATAATTAATGCAGAACTATAATAGACCTATTGCCTTACTACCGGTCCTATCCAAAATTATTGAGAGACTTATAAAAGCCCAACTGATGACCTTTCTCGTTGAAAACAACATTTGATTACAAAGTCAGTTGGGCTTTTTATCTAATAAATGTACCAGCGATGCTATGTTTTCTGTACAACATGAAGCTCACTGTTTTTTGTGACTATGCCAAAGCTTTTGATTGTGTAAATCATGACATTTTGATAAAAGACTAAATTTCTACGAAATTCGAAATATTTCTTTGAAGTAATTCCAATCTTACTTGAGGAATAGGAAACAACTAGTTGTAGCAAATTCTACTAGCAAACTAGTTGTACTCTTTTATAACGTGGATAAGACAGTAGCATTATCCTACAAAGGAGCTCTTGAACCCTTGCTTCTTAACAATAGTTCCCTTCATACCTATTTGTCAAGTAAGAAACTAGCCTCAGCCTGCTACGCAATAAGATCTGTTGCGAGGGAAATCAATTTAGCATCTTCCAAAATAACATATTTTTCTTTGTTCGAGTCTCATCTTCGATATGGCCTTTTTTTGGATTCTAGTACAGCTGCCCAATCTGATGTTATTTGTAAATTACAAAAAAGAGCAATACGGTATCTTTTTGGCCTCAGTAGAATAACACATTGCAGAAGCTACTTCAAAAATTACGGGATTTTAACTCTTCCTTCTTTATATATTCTAGAAACTGTTTGCTTAATGCGTAAACATCTACATATTTTTCCAGCAAGACCTAATCATGACCAGTCCACCTGGAATTCAACCACTGATGTGCATTTACTGATCCCGTCCAATGAGATATTGAACTTCTACATTCCTGCAGAATTCTCAAAAAAGAATAATAATAAACACAACTTAGTTAAATTATCCAATGGGAACTATATGGAAACAGAGAAGGAAGCTGTAAAAGATCTTTCAAGTGTTAACTTCCAAGGGACGACGCAATTGACAGTGGTAATAATCATCAAGCAAACCTTAGCCTAGAATGGCTTCTGAAGTAATATTTGGTCCTCACAAGATCAGTTGAACTATTGAATCTTCTGAACTATACAAAACTGAGGGACTGAATGACATATATTCCAGGATACTCCGAAAAGGACTGGAAATAATTATGGGTCCCCTGATCCCCATATTTAGAGCTAGGCATACTCTGGGATACATTTCCAAAGCTTGGAGAAGAGTGAAACCAGAAAAAAAAACAGAAAAACCAGGCTTGTAAGTCTGACTTTATTCATGTTGAAAACCATGGAAAAAATTTTGAATGAATAAAACCAAACAAACCACTGGATCATCGGCAATGCTTGTATCAAGTAGGGAAATCGTGAAGCCGCCTAACCAGGTGGAGTTTACACTAGAAATAAGTCGCCTTTATGGCATTTTTAGAGATAGAAAGTGCGTTTGATAATACCTGTGGACCTGGTGATTCCTTGGGTGTCCAACTATTGCTGAATTCAAAGAAGTTCCAGTCAGCAGAAGAAGCACTTTTATTATCGAAAATAAAAAATATGTCGCAAATGATTGAAGAAACTTCTGAACAAGAAAAAGCTGTTTCCTTAACTGCTGCTCGAAGAGGTGATGCTGCGGATATCCTAAGATCGATTCTTAAGGGTCAAGAAAAATATTACCAGACCTTGTTCCCTCGACTAAACGAACGTTACGGAGATGCCTATCTACAAGTCTACAAGGCGCAACTAAAAAGTAGAATTCAACGAGCAAGTGAAAATTTGCAAGATTTTGAAGCAGATGTTGGTCGTATAGTCCGGTTAGCTTATCCAGAGGCACCAGACAACATGTTGGAAGAAATTGCTGTAGATATATTCGTCAATGGGTTAAAAGACAATGAATTAAACCAAAAGTAGTTCACATAAATCATCTTGCACCATATGCTGGCTCAAACGAAACAGAAGAAGCACGAACCCTTCAACATAAGATCAAAGATGACCGGCAACCAAGCTCTAATTAATTGATGTCAAATTACGTAGAAAGAAAGAGTGCTACATTCGGCGTGACCACAGAAGTTCAACAGGATCTTTTAGTGTTCCGCATAACGTCTCTCTAGCCCACTGTGTGCCTAAGATATTGAGATGACTAAAGGAATCTCATCCGTATTTTATACGAAATTCGGTCGTTTGGACGAGTTGAAAAACCAGCAGCCTAAAGTTGAAAGAGTACTGAGATTAGAAGATTGTTCTCGATCTTTGCTGTGACCAGGAAGTCGTATACAGACAGGCAAGGTACGCGGATATATGGCGTGCTCTAAGTAATTTGAAGAAAATCGTGTGCAATTATGATATCAAGAATTTGGTCTTACCCAAGATTGGCCATGCACTAGATCCTCTGGATTGGAAGATTGTCAGAAGCATGCTTGAAGTGATCTTCCGAGAAACCGGCGTAAGAATTACTGTGTGTTGCATTAACCCAAAGAGATCGTGTCCTTCAAAGTCAATAGACTGTTATTTCTTCTTGAGTGGGTCATGCAGAGCTGGAGAGGCCTGTAGATTCCGCCACCTTGGGCCTACATATAGAGTTGCTGAGCGGGATGCTCAGATCTAAGAGAGGAGCAGTGTTACGAACATGCTTTCGGCGTGGCCCATGTAACGGTTGCATCTCGAAAGGGCATCGAGAACCTTCCACAGATGTATCAAACGCAGGAGAAACCGACCCGCCAAACAACGAATTAGAGGTGGGACTACTCAAGATGATTCTAGAATAATACTTTTGGTATATATATGTAACGATGTTATGAGTTGAGCTTAGTTGATAAGATAGTACCGAACTGTAAAAATATATTTATATAAATTCGAACCGCTCGTTTTATTTAATATCGCTACACTAGATTAATACATACACGGCGGAGACAAGACCTGATACATCTAAAACGAGACGACTACTAGAAACAACAGAGATGAAAATACTTTGACGAATATCGGGGAAAAGTCTATTGGATAGGGAGAGAAGCAAAAACATAAGAAGAGAATGCAATATAGAAGACATAAATGGATTGGTGACAAAACGGAAACAGGAGTGGAATGAACACAGTAGAATCGCAGAGGATAGGATAGTACGAATAGCACAGATAAGTCACGAAATGGACGAATAAAGATTGGCAGACTAAGAAAAAGATGGTGCGACAATTTAAACAATTTAGGAGGCTAATATTAAAGAAGAAACAGGCTTTAAAGCCTACATACAAGAAGAAAGAAGGAGAAGAAGGAGCAGAAACGTTTTAATGATCATTCGTTATTCCCCATAGGAGCCTCCATTCGACGTAGTAATACAGTGCGTTAAGTTTTTGATTAGGTATTGCACACTATACGGAGCGCTAAAATCGGCAACGTTGCAAATGTTCGTTCTCCGACCCGAAACTATCTCAGTATCTACACCGACAGAAAATCATTTATTTTAGTTTAGTAACTCACAACAACGTTTGGGATGTACTTCTCTGTCGTCCGATCTCATGTTTCATTAAGTATAGCCGATTTTAATAGTAGGAAATTCGATAAAAATGCACTGACCTAATCGGTGCATTGTTATCGATTTTTATTAATGTGAAAATTTTTTTGTGGTTGAATTAAAAATAAAAGCGTATTTCTTTAAAAAGATAAAATAAAAAATATACTCTTATTGAAAATTAAAATATTATTCCTAATAAAATAAAAAATAATTCTTTATGACCTACAGAAATGGTTCAAATAGTTGACCTTCTACGGCTGAACAGTACCCCAATCTGTCATAAAAACTTCTGCGAACAGATGAAAGAGTTTCTGCTGTAACAGAATTGGAGACTTCTCTTATTCGATTTTTTAATTCATCCAAATTTTGGGCTCTAGCCTCAGGATGAGCGTAGATAATGCTTTTTAAATGTCCCCAAAAAAAGAAGTCCATGGGTGTAAGATCTGGAGATCGCGCAGGCCACTTAATATCGTCTGTTCCACTGATAACTCGATTCGGGAAAGTATTGTTTAAATACTCCCTAATAATTCGAGCGTTGTGAACTGAACAGCCGTCTTGATAAAACCAAACATTCTCCAGATTTACATCAGGAAGATTGAGAATAGCGGGAAGAACATGATTCTGTAACAAATCGAGGTATACTCTACTATTCAAGTTGCCCTCAATAAAAAATGGACCTATTATGTGGTCTCCTAAAATGCCAGTCCAGACGTTAACTTTTTGAGGACGTTGAGTTCGGTAAACAACACTTCTGTGCTGGTTTTCCCGCGCCCAATACCTCGTAATGGAAGGATTGTGTCTCCCTACTAACGAAACAGAAGATTCATCAGTGAATAAAATGTTTTTAATAAAATTTGGTTCACTATTAGCCTTCGTTATTAGAGTTTCACAAAACTCCATTCTTCGAAAGTAATCGTCTGGATAAAGCTGCTGCGTTTTCGAATATTTAAAATTATTGTAACCGTGCTTTTTCCATACTTTCGTTACAGTAACATTGCTAACATCTAACTCTCTAGCAACGCTTCTACTTGAACGTGTTGAATCTACCTCGATTGTTGCACAAATTTGTGTATCCCGGTATTTTCTTTCCTCAACTTTTTCTGGTAACACTTCTTGAGCGTGACATTTTCTGCAATTTTTAAGGCAATAACAACTCTCAAAATTTTTAACAATATTATAAATTTACTGTACACAAGGAATTGGTCTTCCCTCAAAAAACACAGAAAATAAATCTACACACTGTTGCGCAGAATTGCCACTATAAAACCATTTTATTATTTGAGCTTTTTCCGCGGCCATATAAACAGACATGTTTACAAGAATAAATTAAAACTCTACGCTGTTATTATACCTTTAAACAACCACGGTATAATGACAATATGACAAATTTGTCGACGGGCGACGAGCAACGACGAGTCAACGAAGCAGATATGTAGTGCAAGTCGACGACGCGCAGTGTTGCCATTTATAGAGTGTATACCTAATCCAAAACTTAATGCACTGTATGTATACTGCCTCATGACTCACCCTATATACTTAAATTTTATGAACTACCTTGTATAGATATAATAAAACAATTTTTTTATTACCGTGGGATTGTATTATTATATTTAACTAATTTCTCGGTATTTTACGACGTATAAAAAGAGGCACATTATCTAAAGAGCACCTTCATATTTCCTTATAAAATACCACTAAACGATCGATTTTATTATAGCAAGATATGGTTAAAGATTAAGAATTACTCTATTATGGAAGAAAATAATTGTGTTAACAGCATCGATTAACATAACAATTCTTGTAATTTTTCTGTTTTTACACCAAGTTCTTGGAAAATCAGTATCGGACTACACCTTTTTTTAAACAAATGTACATCATTTTAATTTCTAATTATGTGGAGTAAGGTATGGTATATGAAAACATTTACAGTTACTTGAATGAATAAATATGAGGGGTTATAACAATAAATGTCAGATAGCAACAGCGTAACGTGAATAGCAACAATAAAAGAATTAAATAATTCGTTTTGCGCATTTAATAAGGTTACCTGATATATAACGTTTATTGAGAGTATCGTTACATATGGCTCGGATATATGTACAGTAATAAAGCTAATAAAGGAAAAAGGACATAGCAAACGTCACAAGGAATATCTGAATCATGGCTATTCTGATTTTTGATGCGGCTACTCTGAATAGCTCGATTGATGTGCATTCGTACCAATCAGTATTCCATTATTTTCTTAACTCTTCCTATGACTTTGTTGTTTACGAGCTTACGGGCTTACTTCCATTCCGTAAAGCAGAGTGGAGAAATATAGCATCTTACTAGCCTAACTCTTAAGTCTAATTTCAGTTCTCTTGTGAAAAGTACCAAAAGTATTTACCAATAAAGAAGATATCCTGTTACGATGGGTAGAGCACTTTTTAGAGTTGCTGGACGTACAATATTTCTTCTTTTGTAATTTCTTCACTTGCTTTTTTTTTCTAACCATACGTCTTTGTTCTTGGCATGTCTCCCTTGATACATCATGTCCAGTATCTCATCGTCATCATTATCTTTATTTCTTATCGATTCTTTTAAAATCCCTTTCTTAACAGTTTTTCAATATTTTCCACAATTTGTCGATCTCCTAGGTATTTGTGTCTAATTTATCAAAGTTTTCAGATATTTTTCTGATATCTACTACTTTCATTGTTATAGTCTGATGTGATATCTGCTCCTGGCTATGTTTTCACCGATTTGATGGTGTTATGATATCTCTATTTAGTCATTATATAATCGATTTGATTCTATACCACTTTTTCCTGCTAATCCGTTAGCGCCACATATGTTTTATCGTGTTTTGATTACTACAGTAGGATATTCTAATTCGTTTTACTACTTATAAAATCTGTTGATCACAAAGTAAACAAAATACGATGAACATCAGATTTTGGAGGTAAATGGAGCGTTACCGGAATAACCGGAATACCGGATAAGATAATTTTATTAATCTCAAATAATTATTGTACAAAGAAACTATTACTTTCTTTATAATATTGTGACAATTATTTTTAGTATTATATCAAATTAAGCAAATGTTTTTAAATATTCTATTATTTCGTATCATGAAAAATATTCTACTTACAGATATGGCATTAGAATGTCTTAGGCCATCTCTGTCTCTTTGTACTTGACCAATAGTCGAAGGTTGTCCACGATAAACACGTTGTTGGCGATCACTTTCAATTTCTTCAGCTGGTGGTAGTGCTTCTTCAGCTTCAACGTAAAGTTGTTGCTGTTGTTTTCTCTGAAACAAAACATAAAGATATAGACATATTTTGCATATCGAATGAGAACACTTACTATACTATATATTTGTAAATGCATGGTAGTACAGTTTTATGACAGAAGATTGCAATGGTCTTTATAAATTATAATTCACTAATATCAAATTTCTTGTTAAATTAAAAAAGTTAAATATTCAAATTTGGCTCCACTTTACTTTGTTGTTTAAGTAATCATATGACAAGATAAATACTTCATAATTTTATTATGTATAGTACCTACCCAGCCATAGAACAATCGAAAAGTAGTTATTAACAACGAAAAATATAATAAACAAAAACGAGTCTCTTTTTGATATAAATCAAATCACTTTATCTACGAAAACTCTTGTAGGAACCTCAGACGTGACTCTCAGATTATAACTTACTAAAAACTCGTTAAAAGATTGCTCATTATTAGACATTACAAGATAAACAATGTTTAGATCCCCACAAATATAGATATTATGATAGAACTTGCTGCATAGCTCCAATATATTATGTAATTTACACAGAAAACTCCTGAGAACTTTTCCTAATGGCGAACGATAAATACTAATAGTAATAACTACTAGTTACTAAAAGTAAGGACGTATCTTCTGATCATAGTCTTCTTATTGCTAGATTTCAACTTCAACTAAAAAAGACACAAAAAAGCCGCAATAACAATAAACTTAACATACAGAAACTAAAGTCAGAAGAAACAAAAGAAAATCTGAAACACGAAATCAACACAAATCTAGACAGAAACCCAGGAAATAACTGCAACGTAGAGCAGCAGTGGCAATTCTTCAAAACCTCTATATTGGAGCCAAGTAAGAAACTACTTACAACATCTAAATATAAGAAAGAAGAATGGATGACAAAGGAAATTCTAGAGTTGATGAATGAAAGGAGAAAAAACAAAACCATCAATAAGACGCGCTATAAACAGCTTCAAAACCAAATAAGAAGAAAAATTAGGGAGGCTAAAGAGACCTACTTCTCTGAAAAATGTAAAGAAATAGAAGAACTTCAAAACAGATATGACAACTTCAACCTACATAAAAAAGTCAAAGAACTAGCCGGAGTAGGAAATAGAAGAACCTCAAATATATTGCTCGACAAAAATGGAAATATTATATTGGAAACAGAACAAAAACTACGACGATGGAAAGAGTACATCGAAGAATTATTTCATGACCAGAGAGAAGCTAGTACATCTGTAGATAGCCAAACGGGAGATGTAGGTCCAGAGATAACCAAATCAGAGGTTAGTCAGGCATTAAACTCAATGAAAACCAATAAATCTGCTGGTCCAGATGAATTACCAAGCGAGCTACTAAAGTTGGTCAACGAGAAAAACCTGGACATAATAGTAGAACTATTCAACGCTATCTATACTACGGAATCATTCCTAGAGAAATGTTGACATCAGCATTTGTGTGTTTGCCAAAGAAGATGAATGCCAAAGAGTGTAGTGACTATCGAACCATAAGCTTAATGTCACATACCTTGAAAATTCTCTTGAAAATTATCCACGCCAGAATACACTCTAAACTGGAGCTGGATATTAGTGACACTCAATATGGGTTCCGCAATGGTATGGGTACCAGAGAGGCATTATTCTCCTTCAATGTGCTGACACAGAGATGTTTGGATGTTAACCGTCCTCTTTACGTCTGTTTTATAGACTACAATAAAGCGTTTGATAAAGTAAAACATGATCGACTCCTGGAAATTCTAAAAAATAAAAACCTAGATGAAAGAGATTTAAGGCTAATAACACACCTCTATTACAATCAGCGAGCAATAGTAAGAATCGAAAAAGAAACATCTGAAGAAATGGAAATAAAGAGAGGAGTCAGGCAAGGCTGCATTCTATCACCTCTATTATTTAACGCCTATTCTGAAGAGGTAATTCGAGAAAATCTGGAAGATGAAACAGTCGGCATAAGAGTAAATGGAGTCTTAATTAACAACATCAGATATGCAGATGATACAGTAATAATAGCCGATAGTTTACAAGACCTGGAAAGACTCATGAACAAAATAGTCATGTGTAGTAGGGAGTACGGACTCTCTCTTAATGTCAAAAAGACGAAGTTTATGAAAATTTGTAAAAACAACTATAATACTAACGAAATCTTGATAGTAGAGGGCCAGCAGATCGAAAGAGTAAAAAAGTACACTTACCTAGGAACACTTATAACAGAAAATAATGACTACACGGCAGAAATCAAAGTCAGAATCGAAAAAGCACGTTCTAATTTTATAAAAATGAAAAAGGTCCTATGTGGCAAAGATCTAACATTAGCTCTTAAAATACGCCTAACAAAATGTTACGTATACAGTGTACTATATTATGGAGTGGAATCATGGACGTTAAATCTAGATACCATGAGACGACTTAACGCCTTTGAGATGTGGACCTATAGAAGAATTATGAGGGTTTCCTGGGTAGATAGAGTTACAAACAATGAAATACTGAGAAGAATAGGCAAAGAGAAGGAAATTGAACTTACAATTAAAGAAAGAAAGCTACAGTATCTCGGACATGTGATGCGGGGCGATAAGTATGGCATCCTGCGACTCATAATGCAAGGAAAAATAGATGGCAGAAGAAGCATCGGAAGAAGACGAATTTCATGGCTGAAGAACCTGAGAGAATGGTTTGGATGCAGCTCAAAACAACTATTTAGAGCTACTGCCTCAAAAATTAAGATAGCTATGATGATTGCCACCTCCGTAGCGGAGATGGCACCTGAAGAAGAAGAAGAAATACTAATAGCACAAATTTTCCTATTTGCTATAAACAGCGAAATCGCACAGTACTCACATACCATTTCTTCACTAAAGTTAGAGACATCTAATGTTTTGAATTTAGTATCAGCTTTGATGTAGATGATGGATCCTCCATGGATATGGCACTTTCGACAAAAATAAGAGGCGATGTTGTATCTATTCAGGGTCATAAATTGGATGTTTTCTTCAATACACCAATGTTCTGATAGGCAAATTATATCAGGTGTTTCTTGCAATGTTAAGACTTCAAGTTTGAGTAAATTATTTGTCAAAGATTGAGTTTTAGTTGCAATATTTTTAAACAACTGTTTGGTGATGATAAAAGTAACGATTCTCTTGGATTTACTTGACTAAAAAATAGGCATACGACTCAGTCAACTTAACAAATTCTACAATATATTGGCTGAATTGGCAATACAACACAAGCTTATTAGACTCATTAAAGCCACAATGGATGAAACTCAGGCGTGTGTACCAATACAAAACCACGCACAAACTTTTTCAACATTTCGCAGGGATTAAAGCAGAGAGATGGGCTGGCCCCAACTTTGCTTAACCCAGCACTGGAGTATGCGGTTAGTCAAATGCAAACTGGACGAGAAAACCTACTGACCAACCGAACGGTTCAACTGGCCGCTGATGCCGATGATATTAATATTATGAGTAGAACATCAACAGGAGCTCAGGAAACATACGCAGAGTTAAAAACACAAACAAAAATGCTAGGTCTGGAAGTTAACACAGAAAAAACCAAAATGAAAAAATGAAAGAAGTTGGAGAGATACGGAAGAGAATAAGGCAGGCAAACAGAGCTTATTTTGCGCTCTCCCATATATTTCTGTCTAAAAACGTTCACCGAAATACAAAGATAAGACTATTAAACCTTAATTCGACCAATAGCATGCTATGGCAATGAAGCATGGGTCCTGGAAGAAACATACAGAAGCAAACTTGATACATTCGAAAGAAAACTACTGAGGAGAACCTTAGGACCTGTGAGGGAAAACGGAATCTTCAGAAGTCGATAAAACAACGAGATTTATCAACTTTATAAGAAAGCACCACTGTTAGACTTCATTAGAGTACAAAGATTGCAATGGGCCGGACATGTGATAAGAATGGGAGAGGATTGGCTACCAAAAAGAGAACTGAATGCTAGAATGCAGGGAAAGAGACCGGTTAGAAAGCCAAGAAAGCGCTGGAAAGACACATTAAACACATTAAGTCCTTTTAGGAGTCCATGTATGGAGATCAGTCACAGACAAGCAAGGGTGGAGGCTCAGTTTGGGCTGTGGTTCCGGAGAAATAAAAGAATTGCTAATATAATAAGAATTTAATTTTAATACGTTTAATGTTTTGTGATGTTCACAATTTAATGGATTGACCTCATGTTTTAAGTTTTTGTGCTTATTTTGTACAATGTTTGTTCATTTTAATTTCATTGTATTTACTAATAAAATAATTATAACCATATCTGAAGTATTACCATTAGCATATCCTGAAGAAGCAAATTAATTTTGCGGGGGAGTTTAACTTATCCTCCCTATGACTGCAAGTATTAGACGTTTAAGTAACAGACAGGTCCAAATCGAGAACAAGCCCCTAGGTGATCAACTTAACAAATGTTAATTTGATATTGGTTATAATTCCTTGTACAGACATCGAATACCATATCATATTAAAAAATCGATTATCTAGAACAAGTAAATCATGACAATTTACACCTACTACAATGCGTTCATTACAAACTGAACACAAATTTGACTTAAGCAATATCTATTACACAATTTTAAGATTAGATCTCATGATATATGGCCTATTGTGTTTTTTCTTTAAGAGATTTCAGAAATAGCCAGCGTACATATCCGTAGAATTTCAAGTTCCGGGGTCCTTGAGATAGCCGTTTCAGATTGAATCAATTTTTGTTCAATTAAAAACACGAATCTAATAAATTCTGACATTAATAACTTTTAGGTTCTTAACTAGCCTTTGGGCGATATTTAATCTAAAATAAAGCAAGCATGTCATAGGAAATGCATTTTTAATGAACGAATTATATGGGGTGTTCCAAAAATTTCGATGATATACAGACTTTTAATTAAAAAAGGGATGTTGTTCTCTAGGAATGACCGTCGAGGAGAAGCACAGCTTTCTTATCTTGATATAAACACAGAGCGATAGATCTATACATAGTAAACTC